CCTGCTGAAGTCAAGTGAATTACTCAGAGCATGCAAAATTAAGTCCATCAATAAATCACTGCAGGACTGGAGCCAAACGGATATTCTTCCCTGTCATCCAAAAAAATATGTATTGCCAAACCCAAGATTTAGTGTGCATCTCTGAATTGCAGCCTCTAGTAAGTCGTATAGAGCTATCATAACTGAAAAAATAGAGGTTAATGAGTGTTGTCCAAGGTTCAGAATGAATTGGTGACTTTTGTTGCCTTCCAACAGGCCAGTCAGATCAGACCCTCAGGTTTAACTTAGTGGCCACTCCTTACTGTGTGGAAATCCCGTGTGGTCCCTCTGGTTTCCTTATTATCCATCTCTAGATGCAACCATGCATCAACTGCGAGTTTGAAGAGATCGAATATCCCATTAAAGGAAATTTATGGGACTCACGGTTTTGATGTTAATGTCCTTTTTGCATTGGAATTGAGGCAAAATGTGGCATCCCAAAAAAGGATTTCAAGAACTGGCCTGTAAGGAGAAGAAAGGGTAGGTTACCACCTCACCAAAATTTTATTTCTCTGATAGCTGTGTCAGTGTTGTGGGATACATAGCCAGAGGTTCAAGGGGCTTCCCAAGCACACATCAGAGGTAAATTCAATGTAAATACTGACACCATAGTTTTTCTCAGGTGTAAACAAAAATTTTGCATGGGTAAATTCTGTGTGCTCTCTCTCACAATTAATGAACCAGTACTATCTGTGTTAATTTCACCAGTTTCCCTATAAACATATTTTTTTAAAAAGTTATTTATACTGCCCATTAAGAAAAAAATAACTCAGAAAGACTAAGCAGTACAATATTATTTTACCACTGAACTTGGAGGGATAAAACTCATAACATTGCAGTATTTCTGTCTTGGAGGTATTTAAAACAAGCTTTTCCTCTCCTCCTTTTAATGGTGTTGCCTATTTAGGTTATAAGCTCCCTTTTTCCTCTTCCTCCCTTTTTTCTGTAGCTGTACAGCTCTTGTGACCAAAGTGACTGAACACCCCAGGGCGATTAGAGCTGTTTTCCATAGCAAATTCTACAAGATCCCACAAAATTTTACTGATCTTTTGACATTTACAATCACCTACTTTTCCCCAGTAAAGTTACCTCTTTTCTTTACAGTTCCCTTCAGACTTCAGATACTAGCAGCTCTACAGTACTGAGCAACCTGAGACCAGTTTAATGTATAAACCCAACCCGCACCATTTGCCTAACATTAGAAATCAATGCAAGCAGACCTTTTGCATCCTGGGCCAACTGCTTGTACCTATTTTGTTGCTTCTAAAGAGACTTGAAAGGATCATTCTACTATACTCATAAAAATGATCTCAGGACAGTACAGTATTCTGCACATTTATTTTATGTTTATAATGATAATTTTATTTAAAGAAGGAGAACATGTAATTTTACACTCATATACGCTGTCTTTATAGAAAATCTAAGTCCAAGTAGACATCTGGATTTTGGTTACATCAAGCATAACACTAGACGTTGCACAGCACAACCATGCTAGAATTTAGTACAGAAAGGTTAAAATGTGTTAGTGCAATTGCAGACCAAGAATCCACTGTTAGGCACTTTGCCATCATATTTCTTAGTGGCTTTAGTTAAAGACAAGATCATCTCTTAGGCCTGCTGAGGAGACTTACAGAGGGCTTGAGGAGTTAGGAAGCAAGAGCTAGGTAGTTTCTTGTAACGGAGGTAGAACTGTGGATAAAATTCAATTATATGACAGCTTTTGAGGTTCTGAAGTTCTGTTTTTGTTTCAGCATGTAATAGTACTGACTTCTCTATTCTTCAGGAAAACACATGAGGTTTTCAGTTTGAGAAAACAATACAGAACAAGCCTGCAGGCATCAGTTGGGAGATGGAGGAGTTATTTTCAAGTCCTTCTCTTGAGTAAGAGCAGAACCTCTTTTACCAGAGCTCCATGAATCACAAAAGTGGGGACCTGCAAGCTACATATATCCAGTGTCTCTTGGATTTCTGTCACAACTGTCTCTTGAAAGATCTTGACAAAACAACATGTTACAACACAATTACATCGATACAAAAATGTTTTGACTAACTCTAATTACAGAAGTCATGAAATGCGTAGATGCAGAGATATAGCCAATAGTTACTTGAACCCACATGCCTTTCCCACATTCTTAGCGTTGATTACTGAGCAGAAGATAGCAACCATGGGGATAGTTAGGCCTTATTTCCTACAACATTCAGGATCACTGTATGTGATAAAAAGCTCATAAGAAATGTTTTAAAATTTTTCCAATTTAAACCCCTTCAAAAGTCCAGAATAGCATAAAATGTAGACAGCAATCAAAGCTAAAATCATCTATTCTTCTGCTAGGCAGGTATAGCCCAGCAAAAGTTTTTAGTGATAGACACTTCGTTTCTGCAGACACCAGTCTGCAAATTTTACCCTCAGGCGGTTTCTTGCTGATATTGAAGATGCATTTTCTTCCTCTTTGTTCATTCAGGTAAATATAATTTCACATCTTATAGAAAGCAAAATAAAGAATTTGTCCTTCTCCTTGATATAGAATGGATTTCTAATCCTTCTGCCACCTTAATTTCTCCATTTTTCAATGTCAGATTTGTCTTCAGTGTCTGATTCTGGAATCCTGATGGACACAGAGTTAAAATACCTGTGTCCCTAGCAAGAGCTATAACAAAGAGAAGGTCAGGAGAGGAAATAATATCTGTGTCCAGTCAGAGGGCATTAAACGATGTTGCTTGTCTGTAAGGTGGAGTTGGCCAGAACCACATAGATCAAATATGCAGTATACTTACTTGTGCTGATCTGCTCCGGGTTCCTATGGGTCTGGACCGGTGGTGTTAGTCCCTTGTTTCTTACAGTAAATATTTGACAGTGACAGAGGCTCCGTGGGGCATTAGTTCCCAAATACTTTTCCTTAGCAGGTATTATGGGGGAAACTTGGCCTCAAGGTATAGGCCCTATGCATTGCATACATGTGAACCAGTCTATACCTTTTGGCCCAGGGACCATGGGGTGCTCTCTGGTGTTGCTGCGTATGCTTTCATTTTGCTATTTTGAAATTCTAATTTCAACCTCTCTAGGTTATTTTACTCTGTTTCCTTGCATTTTTTATATATTCTTATGTCTTTTTATTTTATGATCATCTGAGTCTATTGCATGCATATCTTTGAAATACTGATTGCCTACCAATGTCAAGGGATGCTGGAATCATATTCTTTGTCAATGTCCTGGGCAGGTCTGAAACATGCCATCAGCACCAAAATAATAAATTTCAATAATGAGAAGATGCAGATCACATGGGCAGCAAGAGAACTATTTCCCAGTGAGAATGTGTCATTTTCTTATACGTGAGTATTGACAATGCCTATTCTTCCCTTCTTAAAGGATTTACTTTGGGAGGCTGAAATATCTAAGGCCACTTGAGTCTTCTGTGAATGGTACCTGAAAATTCTTTTAACATTTGTTAATCATCCAGCATGAAACCTGTGAATATATTCACAACCTGTTACAGAAGTGTACAAATCAATAAGCCTGCTGAGTAGTCACAACAGACATTATATGAAAGATTTGTCCCTCTTCTGTCCTTATGCTAAATGCTAATGCTAATTAGACTGTCGAAAGTGTTTTTTCCACATATGTGTGTATATTTTCCTTATTAACTGACATTAATGACTAACAGAAATTTAATGTTTTGGTTAAAGACAGTCATAGTGCTTGACATTCCTTTTTCTTTTTGGGTGGTATATGTGAAAGAACTTTTAACACTACCATCTTGGAAACAGGTTCATGAAAATATCTATTTGAGTAAGTCATTCTTTTTTTACAATATAACAACAGGAAGGAAACTTGATAATTTCAGACTACATCAAAACCCAGGGCTGGAAAGTCAATGAGGTTTGGGTAATGAATTCCCTCACACCACTATGAAATTTGCCACTTCAAGAAATTCTATATGCAGACTTCCCTTGGTAGGAGCATTTGAAAAAGGAAAAAAAAAAAAGGAAGAAATAAAAAAGAAAGAACAGTAACAAAAAGTAATTAACTTGTGTTAACTGGTAAGAGTGTTCCATTCACCAATATTATTTCATTTGTAGATTTGATGAAGGCAAGCACAAAGTTTGGAAGCCATGTCCCACCTATTTATTTGATCAAGATTATAATTCTGGATGTCTTTTTAAGACAGAAGGGCCCACCCTTGCCATCTCTATCAGGAACAGCAATGGAAGTGAAGAGCTTTTTTCTAAAAGACTAAAATCTGATTTTTATAGTAAGTATGTAAAATTACAACTACTGCAGTAGTACTAGTGACTGCACTGATTCTCTAGTTGTCCTTACTTTGAGAAGAAATCAGTTATATTTGTTTATAAATTGTTACTAGTGTGTGTGTCAAAACCGTACTTTAGTTATTTCATCTTGATTTTCATCCCTTGCTGTCATTAGTAATTACAGAGGCCTGTGTGCAGCTGCAACTAAGTCAGATTACATGGGACAGTCAGCTTTCTCCCAAAACAGTTTCAAAATTAGAATGAAAATACTAAAATATATGGGTGTGCTTAGTTTAGTGCAGGCCTGCTCAGTATTCATATCAGGAAAATGAATAAAAGTTGATAGTTTCTTGTCTTAGTGCTGGTTGTGTGGTCTTGTATTTTCAACTTTCCATTCTTTTGCCATCTTTCATGGGATGTGAGGTGGCAAACTACTTCTTATCAAAGAGGCTGCCATAAAACCATCACCAGATGTCAATAGAAATTAGTTGAATGGCTCTGGTACAGTCTGACAGCATAAAAGAGACTTCCTCCTAGTAGTAGAGAGATGATGTTCCTGTTTTTATTAAATCCCCTTGCTCCCAAATACGTATTTGACATCTAGTGTGAGATTAGTTTATCAAAATCTTCTGGAATTGCACATAGTTAAAGCATTTAAAGTGGAGGGATTTTTTCTGACAAATAACACACAGAAAATATACAACATAGAATTATCTGAAAATATATATATATTCCAAATACATTATTAACATTTATTAATAATGTTTTAGCAAAAGGGATTTAAAAAACCTGTCAAGACATCTATCTTTGAGACTATTTTTATATCTCATAATTTTGCTAATATCTGGTAAATTATGGAAAGCTGAAACCTCATTCTTTAATTTTGGCTATTAAACATGCACTGATACTAAAATTAATTTCAAAAGGGTTAGGTAACAAAGAACAAATATCAAGGATCAGACATAAGTCTTTAAATTAGGAAGGCAGAATTTTCATAATAAAAAAAAGGCAACCAGAAGGATTGAGAAAGCACATAACACTCTTTTCACCCCTTTATTTCCCACCACTGAAGACCAACCAGCTACATAGATCAAACCATCACATGCTCTTCAGACCATCTGAAAACAGTGAGGGGTATATTCAGTTGTGCATAGGTAGGCACCCAGTGCTTTTTACAGATGCCCCACCATATCCCACATAGCCTCAAACAGCTGCACAAGTGTGTCTTGTAGGTTTTACGGTACTGAATTTGTCAGTGCCTTTCCAATGAAGAAGCCTCGTTCTTTCTTTTGATTGCAGGGAGTACGAAGAGACTGGAGTCCTTCCTCAAGTATTTGCAATAAGTTCCTGACATGATATAGTATCTACCTTTGAATGTGGCACCTCAAATGGTGAACAGTGTTGTGGTGTAAATCTCTGGCTTGATGTTTAATAGGGAGGTCAGCTACAAAAGTGAGCTCTTCAAGAAGAAAATCCACCTCCTTCATTTCCTACTCAGAGAAATATTGAGACGAGGAAGGAATAACAATAATTTTAACTGCAAAGCACTTCTTTTTAAGGGACTAGAGCGTAATTTGTTTCTTTTCTTAGTAAAGCCTAATCGACCAGAAAATGTGACCTTCTTCTGGAAAGAGGACACTGTTACTGTAAGCTGTAATAAACCAGAGCGAGCTGTGAAGTGCTTGAGACTGGAGCTTCAATACAAAAGCAAGTTTGACAAAGACTGGCAAGTGAGTTGGACATGGCATTTTTAATCAGCATTGGAAGGCCCTGAAAGTAGCATCTCCACAGAATGTAAAATAGAGTTGTTTTCAAATTGTTCTCCCATCTTACATTTTCAAATAGAGCTGGTAGCAGAAAACAGATTTTTAGGATCCTGGATCCCTGCCATGCCAGAAAACATTTACTTTTTGAGTTATACCCAGTTGCCACCCAAAGAGCTGAGGACAATCTAAGGGAAAAGTCATATATTCAGAATAGAAGAGTTTTGGAACATAAAAGCAGAAAGTAGAGTAGAGTTAAAAGAAGAGAGAAAAAGGGAGAATAAAACCATGAAATAGAATGAAAGAAAAGAGATCACTCAGGATTTTTATTTATTCTGAAGTTAGATGTTAAGTATTTCTAAATATTATTTCATTGACTTAAATCTTTCCAGTCTCAAATGTAACATGTAAATATTTTGTGGACCGAAGTGTCTTTGCATATTATAAATATGCAACTGCAACATAGTGCACTATGTAATGATTGTTGTGACCTTCAACTCAATATCAGACAATAAGGGATGGATATGAATAATGAAGAGTCAGTCAAAATTCAGAGAAGTTAAAATGCAGTTCTGAGGTTTGGGTTGGCATATCCCTTGCCCTAGTGTGACCATGGCCGAGTGTAGCATTCTGAAGCACTGCTTTGAAAACCAGAATTAATGATGATACACTTTCCTTCTCAGTCCAGAACTTCTAAGTGTTGCAGTGTTGGAGAGCAAGGCTTTGATCCAAGGAAATGCTATTCTTTCCGGGTCAGACTGAAGAGGCTAGTACCCTACTGCAACGTAGTTAATTACAGCAGTGACTGGGAAGCAGAAACGTTTTGGAAGAATGGCACATTATTAGGTAACATCTGTGCTACATTCATATATTGTTTAAGTACAAATGGGGAAGGGGTGACTGCAAGAGAAGCTGGGAACATGCAGCAAATTAAAGTTGCACTATTGTGCTCCATCTTCTGTTATCAAAGAAAGTTCATGTGGATGTCTAGTTGCCCTTGTTTAACTCCTGTCTACTTTGCTCCTGATGGCCCATAATACTATTAATTTATGCCATAACCAACAAAGTTAAGAGTGTCATTATTTGCATCACAATAGCATCTGGGGTCCACCAACGACAGCGAGGTGATGCATGGGGGGGTTGTGTCCACATACGTTATGTAAACATCAAACCTGAACCCTAAGAACACCCTGGATGCACAATTTTTGACGGCAGTTTGTTTTGAAAATACATCCAGTTGAACTACAGGACCAGAGGTTATAGCAGTCTGATGTTCATGTGTGCTGGATAGATCAAAACAGGGAGGATGGAGAAAAAGAGATGAAATGGAAGCAAAGTCAGTGTCAGCACTACTTTCCCACCAGACAGGCACTTTTAACTGAGTGCCATTGATTTCAAATAGCTCTTTGATGGAAACAGTATTTCTACTGGTTATCAAAACCAAAAAACAGATTTGCTGTTGTTAAGAAAAGACTGTACACCATACCAACACTTTCGTATCGTATCAGCTAAGCACAAAATGCCACCCACTAGGCTTTATCAGAACTATGAGACACCCAAATGTCCAGTGTACTGAGATCTGAGTTCTCTAAAATGCAATGGGATATTAGCTCACCTGAAGAAAACCTGCATACACAAAGATGAGATGAAATCCTGGAGCAGAGGTATGTATAGCCTGTACACTAGTAGTAGCCACAGTGTTGACCTCCAGAGAAGCCCCCTCCACCATGCAGATTGTGAGCCTGCAATGATGTTCTCAGGCGTGGCTGGCAAATGCCCTTTAGAAAACACAGAAGACAATGTCTCCCTGTGTACCTCCGAGAGGCAAGCAGGCAACAGCCCTACCTGGACCATTTGACCAGAGGCTGCCAGCAGATAACTGCAAGGAAGGAAATCACACAGGAGACAGACTAATGGTCCGGATGCCCTGGGTGCCCCTGGATCAGAAGTAACATTGGTGTAATGCCTTCATTGGGTCAAGCACTTCACTTCATGACTTCAATGAGTTGTTATTGACTCCAGAACTAGCAGAGGAAGCCATGAACAAAGAAATTTGTGCTCAAATCATGTGCTCAAGAAATTTCATAGACTCTGAATAACATACTTGGGGATCACTTTTCTTGTAGCTTTCGGGCAAGCTGAACAAAGCAGGTGGGTGGAACAGGCTGGACAGATGTCCTGTATGAATAACCATTTAGCTTTTATAGTATTTGTGTGGAGAGCAGAAGGTCAGTAGGAGGAGGAAGAGTTTGAGGTGACATTACAAAAAGTTCAGGAAAAACACTGAGAATGCCAAAAAGTACAAAAATGTATTAATTTTATATACCTCTGTGTTAGATGATATCCTGCCATTAGCTACTTTCTGGGTATCAGCAGTTGTGATTTGTTGGGTTTTTGTTTGCTGGCATGGGGGAGATGCTATTTCTTTGTTTAATTTATCTTAGGAAATAAGACATTTAGGCTGCATGTAAAATTGCACCCGCAGCTTTGGTGATTGTAAGTAGGTGTATGTAATATAGATCTTAGCACAAAGTTGCTGTATCCCTGTCAATGCAATGTGATGAAGATGAGAAGAAATATTCAATTCATTCATAACACCTCTATTCTTTGCCTGTAAGCCCACTCCTTTGTCCTGTACCAGGTCAATTTAGGTATATAAGCACAATTTTCTTTTGTTGCAAGATTTGGGGAAGGATGGCTTTTCTTTTCAGTTTCAGTTGAACAATTAAACTTGATTTATTTGTTCTTTAAAACTTTTATGCTTTGTTTTTTTAAAGAAAAGTCAATGTTCTAACGTGATTAGGAATATTTACTGTTAAAGCAAAAAATAATTTCTTCATATACTTTATTTGTGATTCTTCCTAGATTCATGTGATGATGATATAAAATCTCAGTCAAACACAGTAATTGTTTTAAGTTGTTTGCTGGCAGTGCTTCTAATGATACTTATCTTCTTGATTCTTCTGTGTAAATGGCAGAGGTAAATATAATTTTATTGGTTACTACTAAATAACCATGTCATGAAAATAGAGCTATCATTCAGGATCAAGTCTTTCAGCACTCAAAATTCTTATCTGTTTAACGAAGCCATCATGAAGATGTAGAAGTTAGTAGCTTAATTACTCTTTGAGAGATAATGCATCCTGGCCTTCCAAACACCAAGGCCTTTAATTTTAAAAAACAGAACAATTCTGTCTGCCTGTCAAAGATAAAGTTTCAGGATAAAATTCTGTTGCTTGCACTTAATTTCTTCTCTTTTTTAGAAACCTAGTTAAATCCTGAGAAGCCAATTATTTTGGTTATTTCTTCTGAACTGACATTCTTTTGTACAATTTTCATCAGACTCAATGTCTGTTTGCAGTAAGTGTGTGTTTTGTTGAAGTAAGCTTAAGTTCATTCAACTTTAATAAGACTATGTCAATATTTGGATTTGCAGTTGAATGACTCTGTTCATGTTTAGAATCTACAATTTTTTAAAAATCAAGCCATCAAACAACAAACAAAACCTGCAAAGCCCCAAATTTTGGCTTTTTCAGTGGAAGAAAAAAGTCAAAAATGAAGCGTTTCAGAAAATGAGCTGAAAGTGTATGGGACTCTGATAACCTTTTTAGATCATAGGTTGAGTTTTTTCTCCTATACTTCTATGTTTCAAGTTTACATTTGTGTTCATTAAGTTAGGCAATAAAGCTGGTTGCTGCACCATCTTTCCTGTCTAGGGGAATGTGGACAGGGAATGTAAAATACCAACTACTTCTTGGAGCAGAATGACACTTGCTGACTAGCTAGAAGTTTGTATAGGGTCCAGATTGTACTAGGATGGGGCTGGTTGAAAATCCAGCAGAAAAATGACTCTTAGCCTCATGGCATTATTATAGTGTTATAACTGCTTTTTGACTGTAGAACACATTTAAAAGAAATCAAGCCTAGAGTACTGTCATGTGAAATTTATTTGTGGCTACAGAACTGTGCCGAAGTAGATTTTTGTATGAATGACTACACTATAATAAAACATCAATTTCTATTTTTCTTTCCTCTTTGCAGGCTTCAGAAGTCAGTCATGCCTGCTATACCAGATCCAAAATACATATTTGCTGATCTCTTCAATGATCATAATGGAAATTTCCAGGTAAAGGTTCCCCTCCTAGCAAGACTGTGAACTCTGCAGTGTTGAGAATAATTTGAAAGTAGCTACTGATACTTGCTCTGCACAGACATTACCACAATCACCGTCTGACCCAAGAGAAAAGCCCTTCCCTTCGTGCAACATCACCAAGAGAATCCACAGAACAACTACCAGAGTTCATATAATCAGTGTAGTGCTGGTTTGGCACTGTGAAAAGGCATTTTCTATAGAAAGAGACAGAGAAATTGCTGGAGAAGAATTTAAGGGTGTCCAGAGGCACGATATTCAGTGAGATGCCACTGTGGTGTTTGCATCCATTCCTGCACACAATAGCTCAGGGAGTTTGCTTCACCCTGATCTTGCCATTTATGTTTGTGAAGTGCTGTGAGACTTAGTGTTGAGACAGTGATGGCACTCGTGCCTTTGGAGGCATAAGTCACAGTAGGAAACATCCCCTCTTAGCCACAGAGGTGTAAGGTCACTAAACCTTTAGACACAAATTGGCTGTCAAATGAATAGACCACAGTTTTTGCTTTCATTTTCTCACTGCTTCTTGAGTCCATGACATCACATATGTACATTTTTTCTGTATTAATTGGGCTATCTTTATCTTATTTGCTACTAAGTTTCCTCTGAATGGAGATACGTCAAATATTTACATTTTCAAACCCAATGACAATATCAAAGAGCAGTAATAATGTTTCAGTGACAAACTGAAAACTTTCTATATGTAAGATAGTTTTAAACTGGAACTGAAGAAGAAAAATATGAATGCAAATTATTACTGAAGCTATACAGAAATGTTATTTTGCCTAAATCTCCACATAAACTCAGTCTTAATTTAGATTAAGTCAGGGCTTGGGTCAAAGAATGCGTGAGTCTATCAAGGAGGGTCCACCAGGTTTTTTACACATCCAAGGTTTTCTAAAGGCCCTGATTAAAAATGAAGATGTATTTAATGTGGTCTCAACAATAGGTGTGAGTTTGTATGCATCTGTGGAATCCCCTCTGCTTTCCTGCCATTCTGCCTTTCTTTCGTCCTGCTATGTTATGTCCTGCTTGTCTATATGTATTACTTCCTTTTCATCTTCTCCATTGTGGCTTATCCAGGAAAGACGCCTTTATTAAAGGAAAATCAGTGTCTGTACAGCCAGGTTTCTTTTGGTTGATATCTCGGTTCCTGCCAACATCAACAATTTGATTTTCCAGGAATGGATAGACAAAGCTGATCATGCAGTGGTGCAAACCAAGCTAGAATATGAAGAACCAGAGTGCATCATTGAGGCAGAAAGCCAGCAAGAGGATGAGAAGAACAGTGATAAACAGGGGTCTCGGGAAAAAATACTCACTTTTTCAGGAGCACCTGAAAATAATGACTCCAACGCAGCTCAGACTGCCTGCCTGATGCCAACATCCAACACTATAGCTACTTTTGCTGGCTTTCACATTTTAATGAATGACGACATGTATGTGATGTTATAAAATCTGCATAATGCAGAAGGAGTTAGGAAATTACATAAAAGATCCTGATGAGTTTAGGGGACTGGCTGAATAGAAAAGGTTGTCATGAGTAGACTCACATTAAGAAAGAGATTAGGCTGTGTTCTCTGGTTTCAGATCTGTTCTTTCCCAGGAGTCATGACCACTTGGGCGTGCTCACTGTTTGAAACAAATACCTGATAATTTATAGAGTTAGAATTTGTTGTTCTAATTGGGGTTTATCTCTAAGACTAAACTGAGCCCCATTTTCCTGATATGGACAGGAGAGAACAAGAGCTCCTCCATAACACATGTTTGCGGAGCCAAGACTCAGTCCTTGCACTTATGGATTATGTAGAGCAGTACAAACTACACTGTTATTCTTCCCAGATGAAGATAGAAAATAAAGGGATTTTTCTGCTGATGGTCTTTGTCTCACAAAGACCAGACCATGTACTACTCATTTTCACAGGGATAGGATACAGCTTTGCAAGCCATCCTCAGACTAGAAGTGCTTGCTTTTGTAAGCTGCTTCTTCCACTGTGAAGCTTTGTGCTGCATGGCGCGCATCCAAGGCTTTATAACGAGAAAGAATAAGCCCCATGTCTAAGAACAGAAGAGTGAGGGTGTATGGTATTGAGTCACGTTTCATCCTACAAGTAGTGCTGTGTAGGCAGCTTCCTCCACAAAAACGGGGCTTCACGGGCCTCCTCTGAGGTCAAGTCCTCAGTATCTTTACAGTCTTTGTATGACTAAGCAATTTCTTCTAGAAAACTGAGGTTCATTTTAAACAATATTTATATTTAACAGAGTCGCATTTATTTCAAATTTTTTTTTAAAGCAATCATCAGCTGTAGACCCAAATTAGGACTTATTATTTATATTGCATAGACCAGCAAGTCTTGTTCTCAGTTTATGTTTTAATGTTTTCTAAACATACCATCTTCTAAAATATGTTTAATTTTAAATTTAAAATACAATATACTATGCAATTAGCCTTCAGAACAAAAATCTTGACTATTCTGTGAGCTTCCCTGTATCACTTAGGTTACTTGCTGTTTGAAAGCAAATTTAAAAAAAAAGTTTAAGTGCTAAAAGCAGCTATGATATAGGTGAGGTCTTGTAGATATACTGTGGTTATATATTGAATTAGCTCCAGTAATTTACCTGGATGTCAGTCATTCATTAAATGACTTTATCAGTTGGCTATGCTTTGCCAATTGCATACTTTCATTGATTAATTTATAGTGTAACTTGGAAATTGTACGTGTCAGAAAATTACAGTGATTACTAAAATATTTTTAATTCAGTGCTTAAAAATATTCAACTCCAGATCTCCTTGGGAATAGTAAACAGTAATATGAATCATTAGGTCTCAAAATCTGTTTCTAGGTAACCCAGTTTGTTGTACAAGGAAAAATCCAGAATTTTCCTGGCCAATTACTGGAAAACTTAACTTGAAGGATAGTTCGGGCACATTCCCCAAATTTTTCTTGATATTGCCTCAGATTTGACTGTTCATTAAAAAGATTAACATGCTAACAAAGGATTTTCCGTAATCTTAAAAACATTTCTACCTCTTCCTATCTGAAACAGATGTGTGCAAATTTTGGGGAGCCTTTTTTACACCCCATATTTCTGTAAATTTTTTATAAAGGTAACCATGCAATAGCACCATAAGAATGCAATGGATTTTAAATTAGTGCAAGCTGTATATAATTTGATGAACAGAATCTAGCTCAGCTCTTCTCAGCTGATATAAATTGGCATTATTGCATGAGAACGAAAGAAGTTGCAGTGACTTACAACAGATAAGTAGGTGTTCCAGTAATGATTCAAACAATAAAATGGGAAGTAAAGCCCAGAATGTATTGTTTAGTTTCTTAATGTTTGAACCATGCATACATATGGTTGTCTACAGAGCTAGCTAGATACCTTCATTAAACCATTTTCTGCTGAGCAAATACTTTTCTGTCTGAATTCAAAATGTTTTAGTATATTTTCCTGAAATTTTACTCTGGAAGAAAAAAAAAAGTAAGTCATATTGAAGTGTGCTGTTTAAGCAGTGTTCCTGAACTGAAATGTCATAGTCATTTAAGTGTTTAGTACAAACTATAGTATCTTGTATTATATTTTATAGATTTAAAGGTTCTTTTTGTGTACGTATACAACCATATTCACATTGTATGTAACAGACTAAAAAAAAAACCAAATGCCCCCATATCTCAAATATTTATTTTTAAAATATTCCCTTATGAAGAGAATAAAACACAGGCAATTATTTAAATTCAAAACAAAACATTTCTTCCCCAAAAAAACTCCCATTCTTGAGGTACTCTAGAAAAATGTCTACACGATGATGAAAAACTCAATTTAAGCATCAGGAAAGGTACTCCCCCAAATACTGATGATGACTGTATCAAACACAGTACAACAAGACACATATCAAATTAGCAACACGCATTGCTTGTGGGTGTTGAGGGCTCTGGGGGAGTCCAAGCTCTGCGCTCCTGGTGCCTGTCGTAGCCCATCTCTGATGAGATGTAGACCCTGATGGCCTTCAGCTAGCTTCCCCAGGAAGGATGCCTGGTGGCCATGGCACCCTCTACCCCAGCTCCTGACATGAAGAACTAGGAGCCAGGGCTCCTGGGCACACTATGGTTTCAGTGAAAGATCAGTGAGAAGATCAGTCAGAGCATGAGAAGCTGGACCCAAATAAAAAGTGACTGAAGGGTGGAACAAAATATCTTTTTGAAAACATATGATTTTGTGCTTTCTACACCAAATCTAAGAGGGTTTGGATGGACCTGGCACTTCAGAGATGAATATGGCAAGCCAGATAAGTTTGAGAACACAGTTTCCTTTCAATTATGCTGTATAAACAATCATCCCATCTTCATATCAGGGTTGGCTTCAACCTTATGATGTATTGACTGAAATAATACCTTTAACTTACATAGGTTATAGACTTGCCAGGACACCACTTTGGTCCCAAGCCATTCAGGAGAGACAAACAACAAAACTCTTAATCTTCTCAGATTGTGACAAAGTGCTGCATATTACCTTGCTGTTCAAGAGGCACTTCCTTTACATTATAAAAATGAAACTTTCTCGTGCATCTGTCTGTTGGCCTAATGCTCATTTTGCAGGAAAGTGTTGGGTAGCTCTGCAGCAAAATGCAGGGCTCTTTACTCCACATGCTTTACTGAACAGAATAGCAGGCTTGCTTGCTGCTTTCAGCTACTGTCAGGAAGAGTGACTATTTGGAAGGACAGTAACATGAAGATTCCTCTCACGTGCCGGTCATAGACCGGAGCAAGGTTTTGTTCGTATTCTCGGGAACAGAATTAAGACTCAAAACGGAGTCAAGCATCAGGTAACTTTATTTTCCTGACAACAGGTTCGCAAATGCAAGAGAAAGAGAAAAGAAAGGAAAGAAAGAAAGAATTAGCTGCAATAGCTACCACTATGGAGCTGCGGTGTCCCGACAGTCTGATTCGGCGGGAGAACATTAGCCCGTTTCTCTCCTATCGCCAAACACCTGTCCATTTTCTTGCAATTTAGTCTGTAAGATTCTCTCTAGGTCTAGTAAATCTGCCTCTTGAGCGGCAATTAGTGGTGCCCCCAACGTGGCACAGACTGCTGCCTTTCCTTTCCCCAATTGCAGTTTTCTTTCCTTTGCCAAAAGACTGATCCAGTCAACCACTGCCTGCGAGTCATGCCAATTCTTTTGAGCCCAGGCCATGCCAGGAAGAGAGGGTAGGGCTTTACAGACCTTCAGTATATTCAGCCTACTGTGGGTTCACATACCCAGTGTGGATCTTTACAAGATCCTCTGTCCTTTCTGTCCTGTCAGCCCCAAGGAAGGGGCTGTGCTAAGGCCCCTGGTCCCTTCTGGTTGGTTCAGTTTCGCAAGGGTATCCTGTCTGTGACGCCAATTTAGATGTCGCAGCCCGAAAGGAGCTCTTTAGGATGACCTCCCTCCCTGTGGGACCAACGACCAAGTTCGTGATCCCCCTGGACTGAATTAAGGTGAAACGACACCAGCCAACCAATTTAACCATTTAACAATACAAAATGCAAGGCATGAGGTTACATAAATGACTCAACGGCAACTACTCTAACTAAATAATTCAACTAAACAAACAAGTCCCCTGCAACACGTCTTTTACACTTCGAGAAAGAGAGGCGGGGGGAAGGGGGAAGGGGGGGGAGTAGCAAAGAAGACACCACCACCCGTGGATGCAGTGGCATCCCATTGGTCCTCTTGATGTTCCTTGGTGGTGGCGGTCCCCCTTTTCTCTTCTGATGGTGTCATTTTTATACAGTCCAAGTCCCACAATCTCCGTATTCCAAGAAACTTCATGCATATGCAACAGGCTGATGCAACAGGCAACAGCACATCTGCAGGCCTTGGTGTCACCTCCCACCATATCTCTGCTCTGCAAGAACCAGTCATTGCGCCTGCACTGTATCTCTGCTCTGCAGGATCTCGTTCTTCCTTGGGGTCCACTCCATACCAAGACATGTTCGAGCTGTTGTACCAAGGGAGGTGTGGGTTCCTTGGAACTGCAAAATGTTTAAGACAGAAACCACATATTGGTCCACCACAATTCCCTAATCACTCATCTGCCATTTTCCATCATTTTGTCATCACTTCTTCTTCTGCCCAGTCTCCTCTCCTCTCTCCCCTCCTCTCCTCCTCTCTTCCCCTTTCCCAGATGGTCACACAGCCATGTAGCCCACCTCTCAGAGCAGGCTTGCAGTGATTCATGTAAGCCTAGCGACAAATGAGCAAACTAAATGGCCACACAGAAAAAGGCCTGTTCAACTCCCCACAGTGAGAAGAAGGGTACATAGCAACTTTCACATCTTCCTTCTTATTTAGTCAAAAGTTGACACATTCTTCAAAGGCACGAGTCCCTCAGATGCTACGTCTTGTTCCTAATTATGTCCCACAGTAAGGGAGAAACTGTGTATCATATGGTAGTCCAGACCAATTG